TTCCCCAATTCCTCCTAACTCACAGGCCAAGTGAGTTGTTCTCAGCGTGTGTCTCTGATGTAGATCAGTTCTCATTGTTTTATGATCATTTATGAATCTGTTTTCTCCCAAAAATCCTGTAAGGGACTCAGACCCTTGGAATTTGTATTCTCAGAGGGATGGTGCTTCACAGATATCAATTGTTCATTGGAAGTTTATTGAATTAATACAGAGATCAATATCTGCCTGTCACAAGTTCAAAGCCTACTAATTGAAGATTGTTTTTTTTTGTGATTCTAAATATATGTATATTAGTAAACTATTCAGAGTAGACACATCTCCATCTAAGTATTTTGTGACTTGTGTACATTCTAAACCACAGGAACCACAGATAATGCAGTAGGATTTGAAATCAATCATCCTATAGATCAGGGGTCCTCAAACTACAGCCCGCAGGCCACATGCAAATACAAATATTGTATTTGTTCCCGTTCTGTTTTTTTACTTCAAAATAAGATATGTGCAGTGTGCATAGGAATTTGTTCATAGTTTTTTTTTTTAAACTATAGTCTGGCCCTCCAACGGTCTGAGGGACAGTGAACTGGCCCCCTGTTTAAAAAGTTGAGGACCCCTGCTATAGATATTGCAGGTCAGTGATAAATACACTAACAAAGAAAAAGGTCATGCAAATAAGTAAGGAAAGCACTAAGGTATCATGGTTAAATTGTCAGAGACATGTTCAGACAATTCACAAAAGAAGATAAATAAATGACAAGTTAGAACATTAAAAAATCATTGCGACTTTTGGCTAATGATAGAGCTATTCGCACATTCATTGAACAGCTCTATCTTCAGAAAGCCATAAAATAAAAGTTTTAAAGCATAAAACACAATGGCAAAGAAAATGGGAAAGGAATACCAACAACAGAATTCTGGAAGCTGGAAAACAAATGGACAAGTGGTAACTGCCCTAGAGGACAGTTAAAGTTGAATTCTATGCTAACATTGGGGAAAGCCAAAAAAGTGACACCGTGACTAGTGCAAAACAACCCAAAGACTCAAAAATCAGTACCTAAAAAAGTGGGGTAAATATGAAAACCTTTAAGGAAGCTGTTAGATCCACAGATCCTATTTTATGTTCTGAAGAGTGGTGTGACTGTCCCTCATTCACCCCAGCAAGACACTTGACATTTATTCTCTGAAGGGCATAAAACAGTCTCTAGACCAAGGGACAGCAGGTACAGTTGAAGACTGAGCTGCCATGTTGAAATGGACCGCCTTTTAGAGGGCATATCCAGGGAAATAGAGAAAAAAGATGGACAAATAGAAAACAAGTAAATGAGAAAATTAGAGGGCCAATTCAAAAAATCTAACATCCAAATAACAGAAATTCTGGAAAGAAAACTGTAGGAGGAAATAATTGATATATAATAATAATAATCGTATACATATATATATAGCTTATTCTAAGGATCATCATCAGGTCATTTACAAAGGATCAAAAATCAAAAGGACATCAGACTTGGGAAAAACTTACATCAAAGATGAAAGTCAAGACCTCCACCATGTCCTCCATCTACTTCATTTTCTAGCCCCTGAAGCTGATTCAGTCCACAGAGACCTCAGGCCGTGACACTAGCTAAGAACCTGCAGCTTCAAAGCTCCCCTCAGCCCTTCAGGAGCCAGGAGAACCCCAGATGAGGCTCTACCACCAGGGTGGAGATAGTGGTTGAAAAACTACAAGATGGTGCCTCTAGCAGGATCCTTCCTGGCGATGGCAAGATGTCCAGGTACAGTTCCAGCCACTTCACCCTGCTTGGGGAGCTGGGCTCTGGGAGAACTCTCAATAACATCCAGAAGGTCAATAGGGGCATTTTTGACACCCTTTCTGGTAAAGAAGATCTGGACCACCTCCTGTGTAAGGACTGTACTGACAGTCTTTTGGAGCAGGTGGGCACTCAGCTCCCTGTCTCAGAATCTAACAGTCAGAGCTACAGATGCTATTTGGAGAGTAGCAGGAGAATAAGTGAGGATGAGAGGGAGACACTGCACGAGTTACTGAAGGACGTGGAGCTGGAGGAAGAAAGGCTGGTCCAGGAGCTGAAGGAAGTGAAGAAGAACTGAGAAAGGGCAGCTGTGGCCTGGAGGCAGCCTAGGCAGAGACTGAGATGCAGGACCAGCAGGAAAGGCAGGATCACAGGAACTACAGTAAACTGCAATGGCAACAGTTGGAACTGCATGACGAACTGAGAAGCATGGAGAACTGGCTGGGGTATGCCCTGACGCAGGTAGCTTGGCTAGAGAAAATTAACCCCTTCAGTTCAACGTTTGAGATTCGCCAAGATGGCCCCTTGGCTGTCATCAATGACTTCAGATTGGGCTGCCTCCCCACTGTCCTCATGTGCTGGAATGAGATTAACTCAGCCTGGGGGCAGACAGCATTGCTGCCCCTGGCCCTGTCTAACATAGTTGGTCAGGAATTTCAGAGGTATGGACTCATCCCCTGGGGAAACCACTCCTATCTGAAGTCTTTAACAGAAGGCTCCACTGAACTACCCTTGTTCTGTACCAGGGGCCCGAGGGCTCTCTTGTCTAACAAGTTTGACCAGGCGATGATGGCTTTCTTGGACTGCATGAAGTTCAAGGAAGAAACAGAGAAGGGCAAACCAGGTCTCTGCATGCCCTAAGGATCCATGTGGAGAAAGGCCTGATAGAAGAGCCTGGAGCCAGTGGTGAATTCTATTCCATCAGAACCCACTTGAACACGGAGGAGCAGTGGACAAAGGCACTCAAGCTTATGCTTACAGATCTTAAGTGGAGTCTCGCCTGGGTCTGCTTAAGGTATTGTCAAAAATAACTTTTTTTTCTATGTGGGAGAGGGATATTTTTTTACTTTAAAATATTTTACTTGTGAAAATTTTATCAGATCAATTGTAAAGCTGAAGAATATAACAGGTTTATAATTTTAATAATAAACAACCACACAGATATTAATTTAAGAGGAATGAAAGTATTGCCCAGAGCAAACCAAAGCCATTGCTGACTTCCCCAGCACAACTTTGCCTCCCTTCTACCTTCTCTTTCCTTCTTCACCACCTGGACAAGCAAATTCAAAATGACAGCAAAGATTAAACTACAAGGTGATGGGATGAAAGGTTGTAGAGGAAAAGAACTAAAGGTGGAGATGAAAGGAGAGGAGTAGGAAAGAGAAAGATGGAGATCTTCAATGTTTTTATGAGAAAATAAAAGTAATTGGCCACTGGTGTATGTAGTAGAACTTCGGGAGGGGGAATATTCTAAGATTTTTAAGTTTTTGCTGTGATGTATAAAGTCTACCCCCTCCCCCTCCATCTCTGAGAAACTCTAAATAAATTTCTACTTAGTCTTCAATGAAAATATCAAAAGGGCATCAGACTTCTTAAGATTCACATTGAAAATAATGGAGCAATGCCTTTTAAATTTTGAAGGAAAATGATTCTCAACCAAGAATTATATACTCAGCCAAACTATTAATCAGGAATGAGCATAGATTAAGACACTTTCAAAGATACATAGCCTCAAAAAATTTGCCTCTGATGCATACTTACTCAGGAAGCTACTGGAAATATGCTCAACAAAACAAGGGAGTAAACATCCCAAAGTGACAGCTGTGCAACAAACCTAGGGAATAACCAATCCAGATTAGAAGAGGCCCTAGGGAGACATTTCTTCAAGAAAATGAATTTGATAAAATTCTTAATGTATGTAACCCATACTTAAAGGAGACTTTGCAGGTGGGACCACGTTTGAGATAGAATTAATTTTACAAGTCTGTAGAAACCCAAGGAAATAAATAAAGAAACACAAGACAAGAATTTTCAACTATAAGGAAAGCAATCATGGCTCAATGGTTGAGTATTGACCTATGAACCAGGAGGTCACGGTTCAATTCCCAATCAGAGCATATGCCCAGGTTGTGGGCTGGATCCCCAAGGTAGGGCATGCAGGTAGAAGCTGATCAATGTTTCTCTCTCATCATTAATGTTTCTACCTCTCTCTCCCTTTCCCTTCCTCTCTGAAATCCATAAAAATATAATAAATAAGTAAATAAATACAACATCTTGTGAAGAAAATAAGAAGTGGTTGACATATATTACATAGTGTGGCTGCTCACAATGTTTCTTTAGTCCTACTAATATAAACAATAACTCTAAATTACAGCATATATGTGAAGGAATGAAGATAGTAGGTGTGAATGGATCAGGAGCTAAATTGTCATCTCCTGCAATAATCAATGCCTAAAACTAAAATATTAGAAAGTAGCAATGCAAGTATGTCATTTAGAGATACAGAGTAATATAGCAAATACATCAGCCAAAAGATATGAAAGTGGCTACCTCTAGGGACTGGAAGATATGAATATGTATATAGAGTGGGAGATTTTTAAGAAATCTTTGTAGTACTATTAAATTCTGTATGCCCCTATATAATTTTGCTAAAAAGAAAATTTAAACTTAAAAATTGATCACTCTTACTTGTAATAAGACATGCAAATTTAAACAAAATAAATAATATATTTGCAGTTTTTACATATTTATAATATTTCATTATGTGTTGAGAATATCACATGAATTTTTATTCTCAAAAAGTACTTCTAAAAGTGGAAATTGGTATAATATTTCTAAAAAACAATTTGGCAGTACACATCAAGAGACAAAATATCCTATTCCCTTTGACCTAGTAAGTCCCCTTTTGTAAATCTCTCTTAGAGATCTACCAAGGAAAAAAATAAGATTGGACAGAAATACATCAAAATGTTCACAGTGGTTATCTCTGAAAGATAGAATTATAGGTGATAAGATTACAGATTTTTTTCTATTTTTCCCTCTTGTGCTCCTCTGTAGTTTTTCCAAGTAATCTATAATTTAAAAGGTTACTTTTATACTCAGAAATTATATTAGTAAACATTTTTAATTTTTACAAACCTTGAGCTTCGTAATAGTTATTTATGGAGACAACCAGACCTGATTAACAGCGCCAAGATTGGAATCTGGATGAAGGCTAGCATGGCCATCTGGAAGTGTGAGTCATTCGAGCGCCATGGATGAGAGGCTCCGTGCAAGTATTAGCTGTGTTGACAGTGACTGCTGTTTTCATCGTTGCTCAGGAATCTCCTAGGAAAAAAAAGGAGAGGGCTTCCCCGTTGGATGAAAAAACAACTCCCTGGAACCAAATTCACAAATACAATGAGTGATAAGGAATGGATTTTTATTAAGGTCGAAAATAATGGTTAAGATGATGGTAGGAGCATCACTGAAATATCCTTAGACCAATTTTTAATCCTTTAATTGCACTTTCTGAGCCTGCTGGAGCATTCAGGGTCTCACATGAAACATGTTTGCTGTTCACTAATCTGTCTTTTTGTCCAATGCTGTGAAATCTGTTCATCTTGATTTACCAACTCTCCTAACACTGAGTTATTATAAAAGAGGTATGTTTTCAGGAGAATGGAGAAAGAAGGACTTGAGCTGATTTTTAGAATACTTTCCTTGGTTAAAGGAAAGAAACAGAAAGTCAGATTAGTTAGGTAACATTATGTTTCAACTGCACAGATTTATTCGCCATTCCTCCAGGAAACCACTTTAATTCTGGCCACTGGAATTCGCACAGGTTGTTCTTTCTCTCTCAAACACCCTAACAAACTTTGTCTGATAAACTCTATTTGCTCTTCCAGACTAAGTTGAAATGTTCCCTCCAGTGTGAAACCTCCCATGATATTCTAATTAGTAAACAAACTAACAAATGAATGAAGCAGAAGGACTGAGACCCAGCTCCTAGCAAAATAATACATTTTTAAAAAACCTTTCATTGTTTCCATTGTCTGAATAGACAGTGATTTCTTAAGCTCATGTGAGATATACTACCAATATCAACAATTATGCTAACCCAAATGAAATCTATACCCTAAGGCAGTGATGGCGAACCTATAACACGCGTGTTAGAGGTGACACGCGAACTCATTTTTTGGTTGATTTTTCTTTGTTAAATGGCATTTTAATATATAAAATAAATATCAAAAATATAAATCTGGCGCTAAACCATTCGTAGACGACCTGCTTCTGGGTTGGGGTTTCATATGTAGCAGAGCAGCTCCCTTGCTGCGATCTATTGAAAGTCAGCCCTCGACAAAAGGGTTTATAAAAAAGTAAATAAATAAATTATATATATATATATATATATATATATATATATATATATATATATATATATATATAAATCTTTGTTTTACTATGGTTGCAAATATCAAAAATTTCTATATGTGACACGCCACCAGAGTTAAGTTAGGGTTTTTCAAAATGCTGACACGCCGAGCTCAAAAGGTTTGCCATCACTGCCGTAAGGGAAACTGAGCATGCTGGTAGTATGTGTTAGGGGCAAGTTTTACTTTTCTTATGAACAAAAATACTGAGATTTCAGAATACTCATCTATAGAGCTTTTGGATTTTGTATTTTATCACCTTTTTTTAAAATCTAGAGCTCAAGTAGGCAGTTTAAACTCTGGGTCTCAAGCCAGTGGGGTTCATGTTTTGTCACTATAGGGTCTACAATAGAACTTTGTTCCTTTGCTCTTATAAAATTTTCATGAATGTTGAGTTACTAAAAAATGACCACATAAGAGCAATCAAATGTCTCAGTTGGTTGGAGTGTTATCCTGTACACCAAAAGGTTGTGGGTTTGATTCCTGCTCATGGCATATGCCTAGGTTGTGTGTTTGATCCCCAGTTGGGGCACATACAGGAGGTAACTGATGTTCCCCTCTCACACCAGTGGGGGGGAGGGAATCAGCGGGGGGGGGGCAAAGGGAGGAAAAGGACACATATGTAATACCTTAATCAATAAAGAAAGGAAAAAAATAAAAAACCCACTTATCCTCAATTGAGGATTTTTAAAAAAGAGTAACATAAGGAGATTGCATATATTACAAGGTGCTTAGCCTATAAATAATTCTAATGTAATTAGAGTAAATTCATAAATGTGCTTATTGGGACATCTATAATAGAGTCAACAATAAAATAAAAATACATAAAAGAGAAGAGTTGACATCTTTGTGGAACCATTTCCTATCATACTTTTTAATAATTTATATAATTATAAAAAATAATAAATGAGTTTATTTGATAAGTTTTAAAAGTCTTAAAGTCTAAAAATAGTGTGCTTTTTGTGAAGAAAGTTCATGTACTTTCTTCCTTTATTAAAAAATTAAAGCCCCTGAGAAATAAGATGTAGCAGAAGGTATTAAATTATTTCTTCTGTAACAGCACAGTCCCACATCAGCTTTTAAATACAAAAGAAGAGGCAAAGGGATGATAGCACTGACTTCAGTTCTAACCCAAGTAAGGCAGTAAATGGAATGAAATCAGTTTTTCCTCTAATCTTATGTGGGGGGAAAACCGTCATATGGCAAACCCATATGAAACCAATCTGTTTGGTTTATTCATCCCTGCAGTGACATTCAGACTCCAGAAACTATATCAGAAACCTAGTCAATATTTCAATGCCAACATACAGACTAGAAATGTGATAGAGTAGGTGATAACTTACTGCATTTAAAAAAGAAAAACAAGCCCTAACCGGTTTGGCTCAGTGGATAGAGCGTCGGACTGCGGATTGAAGGGTCCCAGGTTCGATTCTGGTCGAGGGCATGTACCTGGGTTGCGGGCACATCCCCAGCCAAGGGGGAGTGTGCAGGGGGCAGCTGATCGATGTTTCGCTCTCATCGATGTTTCTAACTCTCTATCCCTCTCCCTTCCTCTCTGTGAGAAATCAATAAAATATATTATAAATAAATAAACAAGAAAAACAAAACAAAACTGTATTGATTGGGACAGGGTGTTGATCACATATCTTTTCATATCGCTTCAGAAACTTGTGCTTATTTTCTACTTTCAACTTACTCTCCATCAAGGCAGATTTTCTCTCCTGTTCTCCTTCGAATGAAAAAGAAAAAGAAGAATCAGTATCTTAAAAATAAAAATCTATCCATGCTCCCCACCACTTGAGGACATAACCAGCTTCCTTCACCAGTCGTTTATCTTTATGACCCTCTCCTGCCCACCTCTCTAGCCTCATCCCACGCACGCTGTTTGCCGCACATGCACCCTCTGCTGTAAGAAATGCACTGTGTCCCCATGACTTTGAACCTTGTCCATGTTATTCTGCCTGGGACCCCCTCCCACCTATCCACTCCTTACCTTACTCCGCTCTCGCTCTTCTTCTCTGCAACTAATTCCTCCTGCGTTTGTATATATCAAGAATTTCCTCCTCCACGAAGCCCTCCCGCCCACCTCCAGACCAAGTTAGATGCCACTGTTCAGTATGTGCCCTTATCACAGTGGTACACTAGGATTGTTAGCTTGTCTCGATTCATGGCCAGATTGTGAGCTTCTTAAGAGCAGTATCTTGTCTATTGATCCTTGACTGTCCAGCATCTTATCCATTGTTTAGTATACACTATATGTTCAACAAATATTTGTGAAATGAATCAATGAATCAATGGCTTTTCATTAGTGGAGTTAATAGGGAATCTGAAAAACACATAGGAACAACATGTGGACAAGTTTGGTTGAGGTAAAAGTACTTTGCCAGAGACCACCTTTGAAACTTCATCTAGTTGGGTCACTTTTGTATTTTTTTATGAAATAGGAATATCAATTCTCAGATCCTGTTAAAGGAGGTCTAGTTACCAAGGAACAAAACAAATTAGTGTAAAATTGACTTTCTTAGAGTCCCAAATCATAGATCCTACAGATAATATTATGTTGAAATGTCTCATTAGCTTCTAAATATTGATATGAATGAAGTCATCTGATTAAAATAGCACAAGCCAAAGGAGGGAACAAGATTTCTAGGTTTTCAGTATACTTCTTGACAAAATGTTTTATGGGTGTACAATCTCTTGACAATTTTCTGATCTAATTCCCAAGGAAATGTTAGATTTAAGATGTTTATTCTGCAACGGAAAGTTTGTGATATTTTATTTGCATTACAAATGGAACAAGTAGACCACATTTATCATTTGTGGCCAGGAAATAAAAGGAGCCCTATGTGTAGAAAAAAAAGCAATCTCCAAAATATGAAAATCAGGTGTTGATGACCTTGAAGTCAGTGTGTAAAGCAAGCATAGAATCTACTGACTTTTCTTTCTCTAATGAAACTTACTCCCTTTCTATCATGAAAGCCGGGCAGCCTGCGGACATTTCTACAACTGAATTGCTCCTTAGTCTTGGTAGTCAGGTCATTTTTGGAAGGATAGAAGAAAGCTAGTACCTAAAAAGAAAACTAAGCATGGAGAGGGGATCATCACTAATGAATGTATTAACTCATGGTTTCTGATACTCTTGCTAAATACATTCTTTAAAAAGTTATTTGGTAAGCAAGTAAAAGCAGATGATTTATTGATATTTTAGAGGGAAGTAAAAAAAACTCTATTTAAAAAGAGAACTAAACTGCCCAGCCAGTGTTGCTCAGTGGTTGCGCATCTATCTACCTATGAACCAGGAGGTCATGATTCAATTCCCTGTCAGGGCACATGCCTGGGTTGTGGGCTCAATCCCCAGTCAGGGGCATGCAGTAAGTAGCCTATCAATGATTCTTTCTCATCATTGATGTTTCTATCTCTTTCTCCCTCTCCCTTCCTCTCTGAAATCAATAAAAATATATATTTTTTAAAGACAACCAAACTGAATTAACAAATCACCAAATTTCGTGGGATATTGAAAATTTACTGCCAATAATTTTATGGTTCATTGTGATAAAATACTGGCGCCTGGGTAGCCATAGGACCTGACGGCTACCTAACCTTAGGAGGGTCAGAGCTGGTGCTGCATGGATTCCTTTAAGAGCTGAGTAGTCCACCTCGCACAAAGTGCACCAATTTGAGCGTGGCTAGGACTGTCTAATGGTAGCCCACAGGACTTACTTCAAAGAGTAACAAGAATGCAAATGTTACCTTGGCTAATAGGCCTACCAATTTGATTTTTGAAATAAGAAACATTTCTAATATATTTTAGCAAAAGTTGATCTTACGAAGGGGACCTGAAATAGAGCATATTAGGGGACTTAAAGCTGGATTTTTTTTTTCCAGATTTTATCTCTCAGTCCCTCTCTTTCTCCTCCTTCCTTCCCTTCTTCCTTCTTCTCCCTCTCCCCTTCTCTCCTAGTGAAACCATATATTCTTCTCAGGTTTCTTTATTAATGACAACAACAATAAAACAGTTATTCTGGCCACAATCCAGGTCAGGTTTTTAATTTAAATACCCTTTTCCTTAGAGGTACCTTGGAATTGGATTCTTATTCCCTCGCCTTCCTTTTTGTATTTCTGAATGATATTCATTAGTTTAAAAGAAGGATTTCAGATTCATACTAAAAATTGATACTATTCTATTCTCACTTTTTTCAACTTCCTTCTTTTGCATTCCCCATACTGCTGCCACCACCAAGTAAACTGATTATCTCAAACTCTATCTTCTCTTTTATATTCTTAAGGCAATAATTGAAGTTGGCTTGCTCCAAGGCTGAAACTCTAGGTGTTAAAATAACTTGAGGCATAGAATAGTTTGAGTCAATTTATTGGTGGTTTTGATTACATATATCAGTTTTATAACCTGCCATGCATAATACAACACTTTCTAACCTAATTCTGGCCCTGGCCCTGGTCTTGGCCCGGGCCCATCTCAAAATGTGACTAGCACGATTACTGGTTGGTACTTCGACTCTTGTCTTCAAGTTTGGTCATCTGAAGGAAAATTTGCAGAGGCATTTGCAATAAGGACATTTAATTAAGAGGAATATTATGTACAGCATTGATCCATAGTGTAGCTAATAAGTTCATCCTGCTGCAAATTAAAAGAGATTTGTTAGTACATTGGCCATAAGAGTGAGACCTGTCTCAACAAGAATATTGAAAGAGGCAAGGCAGTGCAACTTTCTTCTCCATGGGCAGTGAATTAACTTGCCAAATCTGGACCATTGATCATAGTAAATGTGTGCAAAATAAATCATACATCTTCCACAGTTCATTGTATTCATCAGCACTTTTGAAGTCAACCATGCAGAGTAGTCACTGTTGGCCACATTTTCAATTGTCTATGGTTTAGGCCAGCCGTGGGCAAATTACGGCCCGTTTGAAATGAATAAAACTATTGAAAAAAAAGACCGGACCCTTTTATGTAATGATGTTTACTTTGAATTTATATTAGTTCACACAAACACTCCATCCATGCTTTTGTTCCGGCCCTCCGGTCCAGTTTAAGAACCCATTGTGGCCCTCGAGTCAAAAAGTTTGCCCACCCCTGGTTTAGGCAGTATGCCTCAGCTGTCCTTAAAGTATGTGTTCTCAGATAGTTGTACTCCATGGGCCAGTTTCAACCAAATTTGAAAGGACAAAAGGGCAGCCTTGTTTGTAAGGGAGGGCATTATAGTATGTCTTCAGAATTGTTGCCTTAAAAACCAAACCATTGTCTAAAAAGTCTCTTAGAATCACTTAGAGCTTGAATACATGAATAGAAGACTGAATTTCTCAATTGTGTACGTGCTAGCACTCATTATGCAGGCCAAAAGGTACAGGGAAGTGCCACTTAAGTGTGCCTATGAGAGTATGAAGTGTGTGTACATGGGGAGGGCAGGAAAGAGTGCTCAAATATGAAATAATTTATTTGTGGTCCCTGTTTCAATTGCCTTTTAAAAAATATGTTTTCTTTGGAAATAATTTCAAACTCATGGAAGGCTTCATGAACAGTACAAAGAACACATGCATATTCCTCACCCTGATTCACCCATTGTCAACATTCTGCCTCAAGTGCTTTATTGCACCTTCTTTCTCTTTGTGTACACACACACACACACACACACACACACACACACACACACGCTATTATTATTCTCTGAACCACCTGAGAGAAAGCTGCACACGTCATGCATGGCCCTTCATCCTCCAATGAGTACCTCCCAAGAACAAGGACACTTTTCTGTATAACGACAATATAGTCTCAAACATCTGATGGCCTTTGAATATTTCAGCATGACTTATTTATACCTTTTTACCTCAAATTCTAATCCAGATACTGAAACTGCCAGAAAGAACAGCTCAACTATCTTTAAAAACAGACATCTCGCTAACATTTTAAAATTTACAAACATGTCGTGTCACTATATGGCAAATGACTAAATGCTGACGTTAGGGAGAATAGATGATTTAATACAAATAAGATTTACCTTAATAAATCTTATCTGTTTCGTGATGCATCTTATCAATGGCATTATGGTTAGCTAACATTCTTTAGGTCAGACAGAACATTTTGTCTGTATTTTTTATCCTGTTTTTCCTTTTATAATCAGACTAGAGGCCCAATGCATGAAATTCGTGAAAGGGGCTCAGCCCTCACAGCCCCGGCTTCATCCGGAAGGTCATCCGGAAGGACGTCCAGAAGGTCATTCAGCTGCCTGGTCTAATTAGCATATTATGCTTTTATTGTTATAGATAACCCCAGATTTTGAAAGATTGAAGTAGTTTCTACTTAGACAGTGCCCTTACCTTGCTACCTCACAGTACATAATAGAGAGGTGAAAGGGCACTGGAGGTACTAAATGGGTTTAGTAGGATCAGGGGTCTTGTGGGTAATCATCCTTTCACTGAAATAGTGTCTCCCAAAAGAGTTCTTATAGCCAATTTTATTTACTAAAATTTTAATGCAGGTTTAAACTGCTATGAACAAATAGAACTGAGACTTATGCTTCATAATCTATACACTTAATTTTGGTAATCCTTTTCAGATCGTTCTAGATGCTCTAAACTAGCAATCTGTCACTACAAAATATCCTCAAATTACAGTAAGCTGGCAACCAGTCATCCAGTCTCTACAGTACAGCCTGGCATATGTGAACACACTCCTTTTTAACAACACTAAGCTATAGTCCTAGACCAAGGGAA